GAACTATGAGTGTTGCATTCGTAGTGTGCGATTGTACCGAAGGAAAGTCGACGTGAATAGGATTTCCTTCTAAATACGCTGCTTTTAAGCGATCGATGCTGATGCTATCGTTTGTTCCGTTCTTGTCGACTATATAGTACTTAGATTCACGTTGAAGAACTTTGAAGGGTCCTTCGTATGCTGATTCGAATGGTCGTCGATGCGAGTTTCGACGAACGAAAACGTTTGTACTATATCGTAAGTCAGGTTGAACGAAAACATCAGTTGATTGAGGTCGAGTTGAAGCAGGTTTAACTGAACGCATTGCGTGTGTAAGCCTGTTCGTGTAGGAGGTTAGATCCATACTCACTGAAGAGGACGAAGGATCCACGAATTCTCCTGGAAGTCGAAGTGTCGTTCCATAAACGAGTTGAGCCACAGTGTATCCAATGTCAGCTTTCACTGCATTGCGAATACCTAGTAAGACGAGTGGAACAGCGTCGGTCCACTGTGAAACGTTTGCAGCTGATAGTGAAGCTTTCAGTTGTCGGTGGAAACGTTCTACCAACCCGTTTGGTTGTGGGTGGTAGGCAGTCGTTCGGAAGCGAGTGCTTCCTAAAAGTGTGGTCAGATGACGGAAAAGTTCAGATTCAAACTGACGTCCGCGGTCTGTAGTGATCGTTGAAGGGCAGCCGAAGTTAACTACCCATCGTTCTACGAAGATGCTGGCCACTGTTTAAGCAGTGATGTCCTAATAGGTACTGCTTCTGGCCATCGAGTGAAACGGTCTACGCAGGTTAAGAGATAAGAATATCCATTTGAACCTGGTAAAGGTCCTACCAAATCCTAATGAACATGGTCGAAACGAGCATCGAGAGTTTTAAACGAGCCTAGGGGACATTTATTGTGTCTGATAACCTTAGATTTTTGGCAGCTTACACAGGAGCGTGCCCACTCCTTCACGTCTTTATTCACGCCAGGCCAGCAAAATCGTTCTGCTATAAGCTTGATGGAGAAGGTTTGTGCAACGTATTGAAGACGTTGAGTCGATAATGTTTCGGCACGATTGGGCGATCCCTACCCGTAGACGTGTCACACAGTAAGGTTTCCTTACCTGTTCCTATCTGTTTGATGCGCAGCTTAAGGGTTGTTGACAATAACTCGTGCTGAAGATCAGTGTCTTCTTTTTGAAGCTCGGCGAGTTTAAGAAGGTCGATTCCTTGGAAACTGTTCAAGGATGTTATTCGAGACAAAGCGCCTGGGGCTACATTGTTTGCTCCAGAAATGTGTTGAATATCTGAAGTAGACTGCGAAATGTGGTCCAGTTGTCGAGACTCACGGGGAGAGTACTTGTCTGAAGAGGAGCTTAACTAGATAGTTAGAGGCTTATGGTCAGTAAAAAGGTGAATTCACGGCCTTCGATGTAGTGTTGGAAATGCCATACAGCACAATACATAGCTAGGAGTTCCCTACCGAATGTGCTGTACCTCGATTCGGTGTCTAGCAACCGTCTGGAGAAAAATGCCAAAGGTTGCCAGGATTGGTTAACCCATTGTTGTAAGACTCCTCCGATTGCTGAGTCGGATGCGTCTACTACGATGCTAATGGGTGCTTCAGTGTCCTGATGGACAAGCATTGTTGTTTTAGCGATAAGTTCCTTAACTGTTGAGAATGCTTTCTGTGCGGTGTCAACCAACTTGATAGATTTCGCATTTCCACGAAGTTGGTCGGTAAGAGGTTCCATGAGTAACGCGCATTTCGGTATGAATCGTCTATAGAAACTTACAAGGCCGTTAAACGTTCGTAGTTGCTTGATCGTGGTCGGTTCTGGGTAATCCGGAATGGCCGCCACTTTGGTTCTAAGGGGCCGAACGCCTTGAGCATTTATAGTATGTCCTAGAAAGTCCAGTGAGTCAGTTCTGAATGTTTACAGTAATGCCATGCTTTTGTAGTCGGTCAAAAACAAGATCCAGATGTTGGAGATGCGATTCTCTGTTCGGACTTGCTATTAAACAGTCGTCAGCATACGCATGTACGAAGTTGAGACCTCGAAAAACGTCGTCTATAATTCCTTGGAAGGTTTGTGCAGCGTTTCTTAGACCGAAGGGCCGAAAGGAGTTATGATAGCGGTTTTCAGTATATCATCTCTAGCCACAGGGATTTGTTTATACGCTTTAACCAAGTCGATTTTTGAAAAGACAAATGTACCTTTCAAACTAGCTGTCAAATCGTGAATATGAGGCAACGGGTAACGATCGGGAATGGTTTTCGCATTCAATCGCCGATAGTCACCAGTTGGACGCCAATCGTTGCTGTCCTTTTTAGGGACCATGTGCAACGGAGATGCATATGGGCTATTTGACGGTCGTATGATTCCTAAGTCTATCATGTGGTCGAACTCGTTTCTCGCCAACCTTAGCTTTTCGGGGGCTAGTCGGTGTGCTTTAGAGAATACAGGCAATCCTGTAGTCGTGATGTGATGTGTAACGTTGCTGGTCACACACGGTAATTTCGATTGCGATTGGTATATCCCAGAGTACTTATCGAGTAGTGGTTGATATAATGGGTCTATTTTATGCTTAATTCTGACTGGAGATAATCTGCAACCAGAAAAAAAGTTGCGCAAACAGACAAATTAGTGTTTCCGTCTACTAGCCTGCGTTTGCACGTATCGATGACTAGATTATGGTGCTATAGAAGGTCGAAACCAATCTTTGGCATAGAAACATCAGCAACAACGAATATCCGGTAAATGGGTTTGCGTAAGCCCACTTTAAGGTAAACGTACATTTTGCCATACGTAGCGATAGGTCTTCCGTTTGCCACCTGTAATTTTAAAGCCGATTCTTGAAACCGGTCGTTAGAATTTGCAGAAAGAGTTCTAACTTCTGCGCCAGTATCGACGAGGTAGCGAACTTCCGTTACTACATCTGTGACGTATAACAGATGGCTATGTTCGCCGGCTACGGTTGCCGTTAACGCGTGCCGGTTTGGTAGTTTCCCGAGTTGTTTTTCGAGTCAGTCGGTTTCCAATTGGGAAAATTGCAGGGTTTTCTGCAATTTCTGAAAGACTTTCCATACTGGTTATGATACCAACACCAGTCGGGGTTATCTGTCTCTCGTGGTCTAGAGAAAGATCGCTTACGGTCGTTACGAAAATTAGGATAACGTGTAAGTGTATGACATAACTCTGCAGTGTCATTCTGGGTAGTTTTAGGCTTTTCTTTGACTGAAAACACCTCCGTAGTAGAAGATTTCGTAATTTCTAATATACGATTGACAGATGCAGCCAGCTCGTCTAAGGCGTTATTCTGAAACCAGATCAGAACCCCTTGCACCTATTGGGGAAGTTTAGACAAGAAAAGTTGTTTAAGAATAGAACGCTTTAAGGTTTCGTACGGTTCAGAAACATCACTAGTGAACATACTAGGTGTTACGCACCTGTTGAATTCCCACGTTAGTGCCTTGATTACTGCGGGGAATTTTGCACGTGTGTCGTTCACGCCGTGCTCGTGGAAGTCGGCTTCTGTGTAAAAGAACCAGGGCATGAGTTGGAACGAGGGTGGGGATATGATCTAAATCTGAAATACCTTAGGAGTCTGTTCGGTTATAGGGGAATATTATATACGAGAATACGAGGGAAAAATATACATATATCCTAAAACACGGGGAAAAAATATCACAATGTATAGAAAATTAAAAATAAGGCAATAATATATAAAAATCCCAAAAAGGAACAGACTGATAGTTGCAATTAGGTGTGCCAGATCACGTTATGCTCAACAATGAAGATGGCACAGGTATTCAGTGTTTGACAACGCTTTTACCAGGAACACCTTCTAATATAACTCGTACCCACCAAGAAAAATCAAAAGTCAAAATCGAGGAAATCAGAAGAGTGTATTCAGCGATAACCAATATATCGGAATTGTCTGGTCTAATCTGGCTAGCGATTGTGGTAGATATTGAGCACGGCGTTCCCACACGTGATCTGGTGAGAATTCATCACCGAGCGCCTTCAGCTAGGTGAGTCCACTTAAACTAATCTTGTCAGCATCCAATGTCGAAAACTTACAGAGCTATTTATTTTGGGGATTTATTTACTGCTACACCAGATCACGTCGGGAACACTACTGAAGATACCACAAGTATTCGGATTTGAAAAACTCCCTAACCAGTAACGCTGTTTATAATCGAAACGTGCCAACCATGTCACGTCAGGGGTCAAAAGCTAAGAGGTAAGAAGATATATTTGGTAAGTTATTGATATATAGAGAAGTGACTAATCTACGCAGTTGTAGGACAAGTGACACACGGCGTACCCACTTGTGATCTGGTGCAGATGCGTAACCGAATGCCTTCAGCTAGTTCAGTCCAGTGAAACTAATGCGGTCAGCATAAAATGTCGAGGACTTACATAGCTATTGTTTTTGGGGAATTATTTGCAGCTACACACTGCTACTTTTTAATTTCTCCAGGCACTGCCAACTCGTGTTTTAACCTCTCATATCCAAAGTGAAACAACGGAGGTCAAGTCTTCCTCTGATCGAGAACCTCTGAAGAACAAATGGATCACTACTTTTCCATAGTAAAGGTTTGAGGATTGAATTTCGACTCCATCAAGAAAATTAAATCGAAAGCGAGGGAAATTTGTACGGTAGGGTGATTGGTTGAGTCTATATATTTAACTGGGCAGTCGGAGTTAGTTGAGCTGAGAATTTATACGCATTTCATCGGGGGATATAATCTAACGGCAACTCCAACCAACTGATCGAGTTGTTCAGTACACTTCATAGTTGTCAAATAAAATGACACTAAAGATCCACGTTATATTTTGGTAAGGTCATTCTTTAGACAAACTATTTTCTTTCCCTAGTGGAGCTTGAGGGTATGAGCCGAAGGTATGTCAAGCTGACGTTTGAACGTTTCGGTTGTGTTCCTACTTAACATCCCAAACAAGCGTTGGGACCAAGCAGTATTTAAAATGTGTATATAGAGTTAGTAGAAAGCACACGCGACACATGACTTTTTTTGAAAATTTATGGACATGTAATAATGAGACATTAGTCAGTACTGATTGCGATGAGAGTTAGGTTTTTCGTCGCATACTAAAACCAGCTACAATGTCAAAATGTTATTTAGCCATATGGATAGGCGGTTCCCGTGTCATAATCCAAGGTCTACCTTAGGTCTGATTGGTGTGTCCTTAAGTCGTGATCTCACCCATAACACTATAAAATATTACGGATGGAGTACGTGACACTAACCAACAAAAATCAGCACTGTCTTTTCGAAGTGTAACAATGCAGATCCTTTCAAGACCAATACGAGTACTCGTAACTATTTGTGTGTGAGCTTTTTTAATGAGCTGAGTGGTAGATCCATGTTTAACTAAGTTAAATGTCATCAAAAGTACTAAACCTATTATCCTGGTTTGTCCGTAGTTCTAGGCACAAAAGTTGAGATACACGTGTTGTTTTTGGCTATTCAAGAAACCGTCAATCATAAGAGCTGATTCTGAAATTTGAGATACGATTGGTGGAGTCTGTCATTGTCCACCGTAAACCAATTCCATACCAATCCTTTTTGGTCTTATGTCGCTAAATTGGTCCATTTGAAGTCGTATTAGCTGTTGCCTAAGATAAATGATTGTAGGCTTAATTATTCCCGAAATCTGGTTAGCATAACGAAACATGGTTCACATAGAAAACATGGCGTTTCGTTGAGCTTTGCGCAATATCTTAGTACCCAGTGCACGTCATGTTATGTGCCGAGGACTTCCACTAAAAGTAATAAAACTTATATTCGTCCATGTTCGTCCTCCAAATTATGAGAGTTGCTTGCATCCTTTTCTTAACGCTGGGAGGTCTAAAGGTAGAACAGGTGTATTTAACATACTTCTGAGCTATCCTTTGGTAAAAGTCTTACCAAGACATTTCCAAACAGCACCAGTGTTTAAATATCTAACCAAGTGAACCCTGAGTTTTTTTGTAACATCTGTGACTTGTATTTTGCTATTTAACAGTACAACAGCTTCAAACAGCAACTAGAGCGTCGCTTCCCAGGGAAACTCGAAATCGTGAGTTAGATATTCTTTAAATTTTTATACGTCAGTCTGGTGAAGGAACGCCTCAGTCAACCGGCTGGTTTGAAGTTCAAGTAATAGGTGGACCACTCTTACATTCAAAAAAAGTATGTTTCGTATAGCATATGAGTAATTTTTCCCGCATATTTAGAACGGTGACGGATTCGTGGACAGCAAAAAGTTGGAACGTATCTGTAACGCCATCAGGGACCTGTTGTAAAATTATCGTGATGTGTCTCTAACAGCATATGGTGTAAGCCCTATGACTGGATGCAGGTAAAGTAATGCTTGTTTCCACGATGCTTGCTTTACCCATATCTGCTAGAGTATAACACATCCAAGTCTGTAGTTTGTTCTAAAGCAAATATAACATGTCAATAAAATTTGCCGTGTTTCTTAATTCAAAAGCATTGACAAGTGATTAGACCTTCAGTTCTGTTGTGCACAAACGTTAGATACATATAGTTAGCTAGTCCAATGACTGCTTTGTTCAGTCAGAATTTTCGTATAACTACAAATAGGCGTACTGGGTTCTAGTGCAAGAGTTCTTAAATTCAGTCGTTCATCAATTTCGTATGTAGGATTGTCCGTGAGTTATTTCTTCATTTGATTATCTCCGGGTGTTTAACGTACCAAATATGATGAGTTGAGGATTAGACATATTTATATTGTAGAGACTGAAACATTTTCGTTTGAAATGCTATGGCTCTGATATTATAATGCTTTCTGACTAAGATGGTCTTCGATTGTGTAAATTCCCCTACCCGGTGTTGTCCACTATCTCCGTTGTTCGATCTCATCGTGGACATACTGCTGGAAATAACGTTCTCGTCGACTGAATTTTCGGGCATTGATCTCCATCCAGGAGGTTCAATTATCGATTTGGAATACGCAGGTGATATAGTCTTGTTCGGTGAAGGCTATGGTAAAGTGCAGTCTTTTGGTAGCACTGAGCAACAATGCGAGGATGTTTAGGATGCGTTTCTCCCCCTCATAATGCAAGTTGTCACTTCGGGACTGGTCTGCGTCAACACTTGAACTAAGGATAGGAAGTGGAGTAGTCGGGTGCGTTGACAACTTCACTTGAAAGTCTGATCAACCGTAATGGGTTGGTGTCTGGCGAAATCTCAGCACGGATTCAGAAAGCTTGCTTGGCTTTTACCTACTTACGTGACTTCTGGCGAAGGTGAGATATCTGTCTATCAACTAGAGGACGAATATACTAAGCAGCAGTTCTGCGTGACTATCGTGACCAATGGTTGGAGACTGTAACATGGCTCAGAATCGATCACAATGGCTTAGGTGTATACACTTTCTGTCTTCCCTTAAACCATCAGATTAAAATCGCTTTATATCTTTCCTTCTACGAACTAATTCTTTCTTCCTGTACTATGTCCTTATATGCAATCTTTCTTTTATATATTCCTACCACTGAATTAACTACTATGAATCCGGTGTTCATCTTGTCGTGTTAATGAGGTGTGGTAACTTGGACCGATGCATATAAGTGCCTGGCTCTATGTTGTAGCTGACTGACCTATTCACACTGACAAACGCTTCCTCATAATCAAGGAAGTTGATACATAGTGACGAATTGAATTCAAGTGACTGCTCAACAGTGATCCTTAGTGTCGCGATTTGTTTTGTGCACGACCGATTCTTACAGAATCCGGTCTGTTGATCTCGAAATTGGGCGGCTACTGAGTCTTTCATTCAGTCCAGCAACACTGTTGAAAACCTTTTAGGGTACTGACAGTAGTGTGATGCCTCTGTAGTCCTCACATTTGTCGAGATCCCCTTTCTTTTCTTGATGGGATGTCCTTTCCAGTCTATCGGCACTTTCTCCTCCTCCTCCTCCCGAATCTCCTGAATAGAATGTGGAGCATGTTTGCCACTGCTTCTATATGTGACCTCACTGCTTCAGTTGGTATGTTGTCAGGTCCTACTGCTTTCTCAATCCTGATTTGTCTGATGGTCATCCTGAATTCCTCTATCGCTGGCGGAGTGATATCTACAAGTATGTGATCTGTCTGGTTCTCCATCGTGTGGTTCGGTGGGACACATGTGACATCATGTATGCTATCTCAGCTCCTTTCCTGCTTCTCGCATCTTCCAGCGACCTTTTGGATATTCTGGTGATATAGATATGATTGGTCTGGTTCTCTGTGGTCTGATCCGGTGAGATCCATGTAGCTTTGTGTATGTGTTTGTGTGGGAATATTGTGCCACCTATAACCATTTTGTTGAATGCACATAAATTCACAGATCTCACCATTCTCGTTCATTTCTTCCAGTCAGTCCGTGTCGTTCCATGATATCTTCATAGCCGGTTTTGTCCATTCAGACTTTTGAGTTTAGATCTCCCATCAGGACGGTCATATGGTTTCCTGAGCACTTCTCTATGATTGATTGCAGCCTCGTAAAACTAATGTCTATTGTCGTTGCTACCATTGGTGAGTGCATGACATTGGGTAAAATTCATTGTGACTCCCTCCTCTGTTTTGAAGGATGCTTTGATGATTCTGGATCCATGAGATTCCCACCATATAAATGGTTTATATGCATCCTTGGACTGCATCAGAGCAACTCGATGAGTGTGTGGAGCATTTTCTTCTTCGTAACCAGAGTGCAGCAGCATCTCTCTCGAATCTATCCTTTTCTGTTCAACTTGGATCTAATGGGTCTCACTGATTCCGAGGGCCGTCAGGTTGTACCTCCTCATTTCCATAGCTATTTGATTGGTCTTCCTAGTCTCTCCGGACATTCCGTATGCCTATATTAATTGTTGCACTGGTTGTTGAATTGGTATCAGTCTCGTGACTTCGGAAGAATATCGGCTTTCACCACGAGGCGGCATAATTTTTATGAATGAATACCCTTCGACTTCCAGGACAGAGTTCAAATTGTTTATTCTGGTTAGTGGTTTTTTAGTAGGGTTGTGTTCTACGGGCTGAGGTTGTTGATCACATGCCTAACCCTCCTCCTTTACCCAAACTTGGGGCCGGCACTAACTTTATAATAGCTACAGGTTGAGTTATTATTCGTTACGTTGACTGAGATAATGAGAAAATCAAAAATAAATTTGCTACGCTGAACCATTCAGTTTAATTCACAGCTATTGTTCACTCCACGACTGTTTCAAATTGAGAACTATTATTACATCTAATCGGTCGTGAAATGCTGCGTTCGCTGCGTAATTATTGTTTTGGCCATCTTCTTATGTGTTTGATGTTTCACTCGATTATTTTATGGGTTTATTTGTTTTCATCAAGAAAACTTACGCTTGTATTGCTTGTGTTACCATCAATCTTTTATTAATTTAATCATGCTTATTTGATTGACAAGCTGAGGACGACTGTAATGAGAACATTCGTGCCAATGCATCCAAAAGCTTCGTCTGATTTGCATCATTTTGTGCTTGCTGCATTTGAAGAATAGTTTTAAGGTCATCCAATGAAACAGGCATTTTGTACTGGATCAATCAATAGGAAAGAAAAAAGAAATTCTCTGTCGCCAATTGTTGTAACGGGTGACTGCAGGTTCTGCTAGGCAGCGTTTATATCGATCGCTTCTGTGACAGTGGACACGTAAACATGTAAGGACGACCTAGTGCCCTGATTGACCCTGCTCCACTGTCTGTCCCAGCCAGTTGAGTCAAGAACAAAAGTCACAGCCTCTGGGTTATGAATCATTATATTTCAAACATACTTTGTTTATATACCAATCAAGCACACCACATCGTGCCATAAAATAGAAAACAACATTTTGTACAATATTCAACAAGTGAACAGATATCGACCAATAGGAAATGTCCATTTAAAGTCCAAGGACACCATTGGACTTAACATGATAATTATTGGTCTATTCCTCCGCATCCACAACAAATACAATAATGAAGCCAGTGAATTTATAGCTTATGACGTATCCAAGATCATAATAATGTTTCAATCTGCGTAAAAAACCATATAATTTCATCATCCAACCTGAAATTCATTAGTGAGCAGTCATAAGAAAATAAATATACATGTCTTATCAAACTGTAAAACGCACTGAACATGTATCATATTTATACAGTGACATAAACGAACATGCATCAAGTAACGTGATGCGTAGTAGCACATTTCCACTAGCTGTTCTTGATAGATATAAATATCTGAAAGAAAAGTACATTAACCAAATCCAAATTTTACGGTATTACATTAGTAGTTTGGAGAGGAGGGTACTCCCAGTGACCCAATGATAACGCGACAAAGATTTAGTTTATCTGTAACTGCATTAAAGAATAATTAGTTTTACCTTACGACCTACAAATATTATTGGAGTTAGAGTCAGGAACTTGCTGACTATTGACCGAGTAATTCTTTACATTATGAACGGGAACATAGCGACCATGCAAAAGAAATAAGTATAAACTAATTTGTTCGATTCGTATGCAGATTATAAGTATCATATTCTTTGCGGGTGTATTGTGCCCCAATTAGGTACATGATTTGATTCTGTAATCATATGAATGTATCATTGTTAGCATAAGTTACTAAGCATTTCTCCACATTATTCATCTCTGCCCGTGGCTTTACAACATAAACATCCATACTAAAATAACCTACTTCATAAAGATTCCTTAACCACCATTAGTTTGTCAAAACCACCATAAAACTAAGGTCTATTTATTTATTGATAAAAAAGTTATAAAACAACTTTAAAAGGGAATTTGTAAACAAACATCGAGAAATAATTGATAATACTGTCAACAATTATTAGACGAACAGGACACAAAAAATGTTCGGTTCATTTTTTCCTCCAAAAAATAAAAGTTAATTTACAGGTTATCATCTACAACAATTTTATAAAATAGACAAGACACATACAACTTTTTTCACAGCCAATTACAATTAATTATTCTTCTACTCCAAATAAATAAGTACACAGGAAGGAAAATACAAACAGGTCTTTGGAACATTATTCTTAATCATTTAACACGAATAGCTGACAAGGAAAATTAGTAAACTAATGCACAAAAGAAGGATACCACTGAGTTTTAATAAAATTGAATAAACAAATCCATCGATCCACTCCGCCATCTCGAATTTTCACCACATTCTGGATTACATGACGGGCAATTAGTAAATGTATTAAACCAACGTGTTGTGCATTTAGCACAAAATTTATGCTATACACATACATGCAAATAGGAAAATTTATTTTTAAAAATATGTGAATAAATGAGTGTTTATCATGATTGAAAAATAAGTGAAACTATTTAGATTAAAAAAGGCAATTTTGTTGTAGTCTTCTTTCATATTCTTTGTAAATTGGGAGGAACTTCCTTAGGTGAAAGAAATCTTCCTTGGTTGTACATTTAACTAAACTATATCCCCTAACATACACTATTCTTGTCCAGTTACATTTTTAGATTATATTTCTATTCCTTACTTTACTTTTTCTCAATATTATCTCTTTATTTATGTGGTGCAAACCTTTTTTGGTGTCCAACTGTACCACAAAGTATGTAAATTAAATACATCTTAGAAAATTTGTTTTCAATAGAAGTTCTCCTTACCAAAAATGTCCAATTCATTAATTTATTAAAATCATATGTAAACAATAAATAATACTTTTTCATAACTTTCCCAATTATTTAACGCTGTAAAAATTGACTTACATTACAAGACAAAATGCCAACATGAGTATAAGATTCAAGGCACATATTACAAACTTCATTCGATGGCGCCTGCATTTCAACTGTATATGGCTGTATAAAATAATTGATAAACAGTATACGTGTAAACAGTGTTCGTGCGCTATGCTAATATTTTGAAAATACAACTTCAATACAGTGAACAAGATGGTTTCTATCCTCTAACTCTCTGCCTCGCTAAGTTTCGCAATTGAAAATTAGTCGGTAATAGCTCCAGTAGAATTAAAAACACGTTTAAGTTAGTTGGTTATTTATCAGTTACAGTGATCGGAATTTATCAACTAACTGAGTGTCACTAGACACAAATCATGGTAAAATGCATTAGAATTTTATAAAGTAATGTGACGAAAATGTGCTGAAAGTTGACCTTACATTACCCTTAAATTGATACTAATTTTCTGTCTCATAAGTTGTATTTGGGGAATTAACATTTCCAACAAAGTTTCTTATTTATCGTTCTTTGAATAGTACTATTACTCATCAATTTCAGCATAGGAAGTTATGCAAACAGGCAGTCTGTAAATCTGTCCAATTTAAAGACTGTGTTCATCAAAGACAGATATCATCTAGAAATCTATTGAAAACTTGAGAGCACTGGGTATCTGCTCCGTCTTAGTTTAAGAATGCTCGATTGCGGGTATTTGTGAACGTTATGAAATTGAACTTATGACTTGAAGATTTTACAGTAAGAATGACACTCAGAATCTAAACGCTCCATATTTTTGAGTTCAGCCATTAAATGATGCGTAGCAATCACAAACCTATAAAATCGGTGTTGATTGTTTCATTCCGACATGGTTGACTCTAGAGATCAGAAGTCATAACTGATATCACATTTCCTGATAAACCAACTTTCAAACTATTACGTGAGTCCCGACCCAAAAAATCCAGCATAATCTCGCTAAGACAGACAAGTCTAAACACAATTTCATTTTCATTAAAAAAATAAATCCCATCAAAACTAAGGATAGCTTGATGGCGAAGAAATATGACAAACCTGTACTCACTTTTGTACACATCATCGAACGTGAAAATTTCATAAAGTCTTTACATAATGAAAGTATAATACAAACCTAGGAGAAAAAAATAAAAAAAATAACGTACAGAGAAAATTGATGGCACTCAGTTACTTACTGAATATCAAGATTTCAAACTAAATAACTTTGGATTTTCTCACTACACTGGTATTATTTGGACTTTAGTTCGTGTTTTTCATTCCTTTGTCATAAGCCAGTTAATTTGGCAAAGAAATCCTTTTCAACGATTTCATTTTCAAAACTGCACAAATAACATATACATAAAAAGAGATGTTCCGACTGATATTACTATACAGACATTTTTGTTTTACATTATGTTAACTTCGACTTGCTACACTGATATAAAGTGTAGGAATAACAATAACAACAATAACTGCCTGATTCGATATCAAAATTTCGTTAAAGCAACAAATTCATAACACCAATAATATAATTTAATAGATTACTGTTGAGTATACATTTAAGTCGTAATTTTAAGAAATATACCTAAAATTCCGCGCGCGCTAATTAAAAGGACAGTGGTATTTTTCCTCGCTGAGTAAATCCTATTGTTTTGATCGTTTATTACGTATGAAGACTACTGTTTTCACTTTAATTGAATTTATTTCAGTTAAAGTATTCGATTAGAGTATCGTTTCTGTTTCTAAATTAGTTTGTCGCCGGTACTTTTGAGTACTTTGTTTTCTGTTTTATCCGTTAGTACTTTGGGTTCTAACAATCCACAGTTCTCCACTTTTTTTGGTCATAGATCATTTTTGTCTGAGTTTTATTGCATCTAGTTCTTTTTTCTTTAAAAAAAGACCCCTGTTTAATGACTGGACAGTGCAATCAAAAGCAAATGCCAACGTTCGGGCTGTCGTTATCACGTTAAGAGCGGCATGCAGTGCGATGAGTGCAAAGGCTGGTACCACGAAGTTTGCACGAATTTAACGCCTGCGGCTTTCAAACGGTTCAGTAAAAACGGTTGCGCATGGCTTTGTCAACAGTGCTGTTCGGATGCAAACAGCTTGCTAACCGAGGCCATTTCATTGGTAAATGCTGCAAAAGTGTTTTGGCAAGCGTGGTCGGGACACATCGTACAGTACTCGCTCTGTTGACACGCCAACTGGTGTGAGGCAAACTCAGGTAAGTTCGAAAACAGATGACTCATACCAACCAAAGGAGGAAAAACAATCTTCAAAGACGTCTGTCTTAACCAAAAATTCGAAAAAGGAGTTTCCTCTGTCCCCCGTCTTCTAAATGGTATCCAGCAAGAAACGCCTAGAAGCCGCATTCGCAAGGCTCGATCGGTTTCTATTTATTTATTATTATTTATTTGAACACATAAATATTGGTACAAGAAGGCACCAACAATATGTGCGCCACATAAAACGATGAGAATTCAAAGGAAAAAAACCATAACGAACAGATTAGTGTAATAATAATAATGACAATAATAATAATAATAATAATAATAATAATAATAATAATAATAATAATAATAATAATAATAATAATAATGGGACAAAATGAAAGGTACAATCAGAAATTTTTCAGTTAAGGAAGAAACAACCACTTTTTAAATGAAGAAAGTAAAAGAAGGTTACAGCAGGACCTCCATTGGCTTCTATTCTGAGCCATGTCTGATAACGTCTCTAGCCAATGTGTTGCACCATCTCTAGGACCCCAAAGAGGGAGCCGTGAAGGACCAACACAGGCCAGCCCTTTGCAGCTTTTTTTCATACCACGACACCATGTCATACACTGACCACCTCTCCGCTTCTTCCAACCAGTCCCAGCGTCGGCAAATAATGCACGACGTGGAATTCTCTGGGACGACATTCGTAGAATATGTCCTAGCCACCGAAGTCGGTGTTTCAAAATGGTGTTGCAACTGGATGTCAGCAATCCTTCGGAGACAGCGATGATCGAACACAGAGAGTCGTCTAACGTCCTCAACTCGGAGAGGCCAGGTTTCACAAGCATAGAGTAGAACTGCTCTCACCGATGCGTTGTAGATCCGAACTTTTACAGCCAGAATAACATCACGAAGGCGCCAAAGATGGCCCAGATTGGCATAAGCCGCTCTGGCTTTCACTACACGTGCATTGATCTCATCACTCACACCACCACCAGCACTTATGCAGCTACCCAGATACACCAACTTCTCGACTACTTCTATCTGCTCACCACCCAGGGTGAGTACAGGATTGGAATCCTGCCAGTCTTGTAGAAGTACTTTGCACTTCGAAGGTGCGAAGCACATACCATACCTACGGACACTGATTGTCAACTGATTAAGTGCGGATTGCATGCCTTGGGCATTATCGCACAGTAAGACAATATCGTCCGCATACTCAAGGTCGAGAAGTCTTTCTCCAGGCAACAGATCCACACCACCATCACTTACATTCATCAGAGCTGTTTTCAGAACGTCATTGGTGCCAAAATTGAAGAGGAATGGTGAGATTGGGCAGCCCTGTCTAACCCCACTGCTCGAATGGAACAATAGAGAGAGGTGGTTGTATGCCCTCACTCTGCCTGAGGTGTTTGTATTATATAGGGCTCTCAAGATGTTAATAAACTTCTCAGGCACACCCTTCTTCAATAGACAATCCCAGAGAACAGTCTTGTTCGACGAATCGATGGCAGCTCTAACACCAAGAAACACTACGATTGTTGGCCTTTGATAAATATGACGGTGTTCTAACATTTGAGGGAGGATGAAGATATGATCCTCCACTAGAACGAAAGCAAGTCTGCTCCTCGCGAGTCAATCTTTCTCGGATAGACAACAAACGTCGATATTAAGACTTTCCAAAGACATAGCCAGCCCTGTCTGTTGTCCGACCTGCATAAGTGTGCGAACATTGAAGACAGCCAGTTTGAATGGTGCACGTGGTTTCAGAAAAACTGCTTTAGTATTCGTATTTGGTGGTAGCATAAAATTTTCAACTAGGCAGTGACTCGAGAACGTTTAGATAGGACCGAGTTTCCACCATAGGCGAGCTCCTGTATAAGTGGAAAAGTAAGGATACATAAAATGGGAATAAAAGAGAGTGAATAAATGACATGGTAAATAATAATAATAATAACGTGAATTGTTTGACTGTAAACCGAAGCGAGAATAAAGTCTAATCCATAAGACAGTGGAGCAACGTAAGGAGATGCAGTCCCATGGTAGACGGTGACCAACGATTGGTTCATACGCCATTTGTTCCAGAAGGATACTGGAGCCCATGTGCACCATTGGTTCGGGATCCGGTTAAAGCACCGGACATTTGCTTTTCGTCCTCTCATTTTCATAAACAACACCCCCGCCACGAGACGGCAGTAAGTAGGACTTCCCTGGCAGAGCCTGTATACGCATGGCCGTGTTAGAGCATTTCGAGAGGGGGGCGTCCCACCCCACTCTCGGCCATACCACGGTACTTGGGGGCCGATCGGTTTCTAGCGGGAAACATAACCTGACCTCCCAAATCGTCGACAACCCTCAGAAATCCCACAGTAGGTTTTACGCAACTGTGGTTGCTTCTCCTACCAACGTTGGCGAATGGATACATGATGTAAGGAAGAAACAACATAGCGATATAAAAGGGAATCCTGCCCCCATAAAAGTAGTCGAAAAATCGAAGGATGATCACAGTGACAGATCAGTTATTTTTCACAGAATCAAGGAGAGTGAGAGCTCTGAACCAAAAACTCGTTTTGAACATGACATTGTGCTGATAAAACAGCTACTTAACCAACTTATGCCTGAAAATATCCTCGGAGTCACCTTGCTTAAGGTGTACAGACTAGATATTCAAGCGAACTTGAAGCCTAATCAACCCAGACTGCTTAAAGTAGTATTCAAATCTTCGAATGAACGCGACTTAACTTTGCATAAAGGACATAAACTAAAGGGTTCGGGAGTTTTTATCCGTAAGGACTTGTCGTTGACAGACCGCGTAAAAAGACGGAAAGCCGAGCAAGAACTACGAATTAGGTTAGACGCTGGCGAAAAAGACATAAAAAATGTAAATTTTCGGGTTGTAAGGCCTCGACAGAGAATGATGCCGAAGCCACTCTGGGTGAAGCATGAAGCCACTTAAATAGGCTTCGGATCTGTTACACTAATACCCGAAGCTTACTCAATAAGCGATCGGAACTAGGTGTACAGATTGACTCTACGAAGCAAGACATAATCGCAGCCACAGAAACCTGGCTGATACAGTCTATAGACAGTATGGAACATGATTTCGAGGGTTTTACGTTAGTAAGGGCCGACAGAATACAAAAGCGTAGAGGGGGAGTAGCTCTATTCGTTAGGAATGCTATCCCATTTGTCATTATCAACAGTGTATCCCATGAGAGTGGGACGTGAGAATTGGTTAGTTACCTCTTGAAATCCAAGGGACAAGAGCTGCTGATTGGTTTGGTCTATCGCAGTCCAAGCTGTAAGGTAAATGAGGTCCTGCTAAGCAGTCTCAATACTTCGTCACAAAGTGGTCGATGTCTAATCCTAGAGGAATTTAATGTACCTATGGTAGACTGGGAAAATCTGCGAACTGAACCGTCAGAAAATTCCTTCGAGGAGGAACTAGTTGGTGCGGTTATCACATGTGCCCTAGTGCAACAAGTAAAATAAGCGACTAGGTACGACGCGGACACTGAATCATCCTTACTAGATCTTATATTGGCTCACTATAAGGATGACGTCGCGAACCTTCATTAAATTCCACCCATAGGTAAAGGTGATAGCGCACATTTAACTTTTGACTTCCATATAACTGTCAATCACCAGCACGCGTCAACCCAATCCAGACCTAATGTCTGGAAAGCAAGCATACCAGATATCATGTACTCAGCATCGTCAGAAGATTGGACAACAGACCCAGAGTCTGTAGTGGCTGTGCTTCGATAACTAATCACCCTCGTACCGTTACCATATAATCTTTAACGGTGTTTGAAATCAGAAGGTAAAAGGAAGCAGCTACTACAGTTTATTAGCAGATAATTCGGACCACACAGCAGAGAGGCAAAACGAATGAGTAAGCGAACTGCGATAGTAGTAG